TCTGGTGAAAATTTCATGTCATTAGCACCTCTAGTAATATACAGTATTTACTGAGAAAAATGGTAATGTGTTCAATACTTATTTTACCCGCTGTACATAATAATACATACATGTATGTATTATACGTACAAATGCATCGCCACACATTTGTCCATTAAAAGAGGAACTAAAAAAGTTTCAGAAGAAAAACAGAATAAATGTAACAGAWCTAAACATGATGCCACCGTGAGCCGTGCAATTCTAGGTGCTTATAACAAATATTTAACATGACCTGTCAGATCATGAGCGTGTTTGTCAGCAATACACTTTGACCTCAGTCAGACTAGCCATTAGCTCATCAGTCTGCTCAGAATTCATCTCTGTTTGTCCAGACTCAGGTTGTTAACATAATAATTATAATTTCCCACAGAACACACGTTAAAAGGTCATTTCTTTATCTTTATACTAATTCTSAGAGATAAACTTGTTGAGGTGAGACATAATGAGCATTTTCCTACAAATGGTTTCATTTGGTGAAAGAATTATCCTTTCACATCAAGGAAGTTGATTTTATTCATTTATTCCTATTTAATTCAGATATTTTATGAGTGTTACAGAAAACAGAGACAAAATGATGCTGAATAAATCTCATGGATATTTTAGTGGAAAAGGAAACAACTTCACCAAAACAAATCCAACATTTATTCAAACTAATCGTGTTGTTTTTCTCCTAACTTTATAAATTATAAATAAAATMATGCTGCATTGAAATTTATTTTCCAGGATTGTAATCAGCGCGAAAGTTTGTTGAATAAATATTTATGTGAACAGAAGTTCTTCTTGTGGTCAGTGCTGAGGTCATCTAATCCCTCGGCTGCAGATTTAAGCTCAGATTGTGTCAGAAAGGTCAACTGGCTTGAAACGACTGGCAAAATTTTTCATGCAAGTTCGCTCGCTTTCAGTGAGCCCTGCAGAAGGGACCGGCCGAAAGAAAAACTGCAGCAACAAGCAAAGGAAAGAAAATGTTCAAGTGCTGCTGGAGGCTCCCCAGTTTCTGCAAATCCATCACTTTAATGCTCAAGTTAAAAATGTGAGGTTTGATTTGAACCTTTTTACAACTCCTGCTGGGTGWAAGTTTGAAGAGCACTGACAGCTGGAATACAAACTTTTATCAACTTTGTCTCTAAAGATAAATTTTTGTTTCTGATAATCTGAGCTGACAAAAGAACGACGAGTTGATGAATAAACTGTACAAGAAGAGCACAAAGAGCCAGAAGCAAAAGAAATGCTGCCAGTGGCTGATTGGTGTCACCAGTAACCACAAACCTGCATCTGTCATTTTTTTCACTCCACTATTTCTGACTGAGTCGCATGTTTTCATGTGTCTTCTTGTTTGTTTGGCATTTTTCTAAAGCTGCAGGAGAAATACTGAACCAAAGATTAGGAAGAAAACAGAAAAARGTCAGTTTTATTCACACTTTTACAAACAACAACTACGACCACGGTGCTAATTATTTAATTATTCATCTGTAAGAACCAATGTATGACGTTTTGGCACTAACATAGAATGGCCTGATGATGGGAAAACCTTTATTATGTAAAAAAAAAAAAAAAAAACACAAACATTACTTTTTACTTTTTAGTCTGGTTTATTTTGCTGCATTGAATAATTAATTAAAAAATTCAAACTGATTTTAAGTCTTGTTTTATATTACATGAAAACAACAAAAACATATTTTACTTGGAGATACACAAAAAAATATGACAGAGTATTAGGGCCACACAACAAGATTTTTTATTATTATTGCAAGATTAAAGTCATAATATTATGAAATTAAAGTCATAATTTTACGAGAATAAAGTCATAATTATGAGATTAAAGTCGTTACATTATTAAAGTCATAATGTTACAAGATTAAAGTCGTAATATTACGAGATAAAGTCATAATTGTGACGTGTCTATTTTCCGTTCCTCATTTCCTCCTTATTTTCCTCCCAGCTGCTGTACAGCCATGTATCTGTGTGTATAAAGTAGTCCATGATGACTCATCACTGTTAGATTAATATGATTTCATCCAAATTAGCTATGTGACTAAATCTGTCAATGCATCCATTAATTACAACACGGCTTCAGTTTACAGTC